TGATTGATGGTATCTACGTTTTCTTGATGGAAATTTATGTTCACTTAATAAATAAATACAAATTAATTTCTACAAATATATTAATAAAAACTTTACAATTGTTTCGCATCCTTGAGGCTTCTTCACTAGTTTATTTATTAACTGATCATGAATTTCCATCAAGAAAACGTAGATACCATCAATCATATTCACTTATTTTTTTGGATAGTATCTAGATTTATTTCTCTTGCAATAAAAGGATTATAAAGACAAATTCTTTCTTCTATTTTGCAAACAAATGAAGAAATTTTGTGTAAGAAAGTACTTAAAATTATTGTATCTACTTGGAGCACTTTCTAGTTTTTAAGTAGCCCTTCCATGACCTATATAGGCGAATATTAAATGTTCTAGTCCCAAGTAAAGAGTTATTATAGAGCCTTCTGCCACCAAGAAATGGAAAATTTAGGTTTATTATTCTTGCAAAAGAAGTAAAAAAAGAAGGATCAAATTGTAAAAGGGGCAAAGGCACTACAGTAGAATAAAGTTTAATTTTAAGCTAAACATTTTTAGATTTATTGCTAAAAACTACGAGAAAATACTGAATCTTGAAAAGGAAACAACAAATGGAATCTGAAATTTTTAGTTCTTCAGATGTAGCATAAAAAGTATTTTTTGATTTTCCAAATATTGTTAAGGCCAAAATAATAATGTTTAATGAAAAAGACGTTCTACTCAACAACATATTTGATAACTAATCATAAACCACGCGTTGTAAAGGCGTATAAACCCGGAAATTTTAAAGGACATCATAGACAGAAGGTTTCCAATGGTAATGACCCGTATTGGTCTCGATCACAACATAGGTAGCTAATACATACCTCAATAAAGCTTTATAGCTAAGTCACTTATCCGGATGTCCTTCATAATTTAAAATTCGAAACTTTTATCTTTTCATATGAGAAAACAACAATTTATTTCATAGATTGTATGAATCCACACTCGCGGTAATTTACTGAACAATAAATTGCTTATTATTTTTTTACGGTTTTATTATTTCCTAATTAATTATAGAGAAACTACTTTAATAAAACAAGAGGTTTAAGGTACAAAAATACATTTTTTGTGTTAGAAAAGTACAATAATGTAACATTCAGTAATTTACTTTCCTTTTTGTTTTATGACTTTGATTTTGTCATTTGCTACCAATTTAATTAAGAATGATATTTGTTTTTTCTTGGTGAAGCACTATTTTTAATTAAGTATCTAGATTGTCTTTTCTCTTTTAAGTAAAATAAGTAGGGGAATGGTAATTAGATTGTATTTAATTGTTTAACTTGTGGTTTTCCTTCTTGGTTTTGATTAAATCATCCAGCTTATCTAAGCTTGAGGATATTAGANAGCTGTTTTACACATTTAAAAGAAATGCAAAGACAGGTAATTGAAAAAAGTACCCATCAAAAACTAAATCTTTAAAGAGCGTAATGCTGTCTCAACAAATTGTTTTGATTTAACTGATCTGGCTGAAGAGGACCTTAATTGGTCCTAGAACGGCCTGAGGTAGAGGGATTTTAGTCGGTAGGTCCGAGAACTTCTTCCTCGGGAATCCGACACTACCCAGTTGTACGGACGGCTGGGTGTCTTTTGAAGATTTCCCCTCTTCCACGAAAACATAAAAAAAAAACTGATTAGGAGGTAAAACTAACGTATGAGACGGCAACTTTTCACATAGAATTGTTTAAACAGTTGCCTTACGAAGTATTGAAATTTGTAACTGCTTCTGACGCATTCGTAGTTAATGTAAATCTATCATAAAATTCAAATAAAGTAAGTAGGCAGATTATTACAGAAATAGTTTATTGCTTAAAATTGTAAAATTAGATTTACATTTTTTGTCTGACTATCCCAAAGTTGTTTTTATAAAAATCTGTATTCTATGTTAAATATTTTCGTAGTTTATAAGAATTTAATTGGAATTGTTGATAAATTAATACTGCTTTTTATTTTTGTATTCGTCGCTGATAAAAGTCACCTAATCGAAACAGTTATTGAAGTGATATAAATTTTGTTAAAACATATCTCATTTATATGTTTTGTTTGTGTTTATACCTAATTCATACCAATTTCATTAGCTCAAGCGCCGCCAATTTGTTTTATTTTTAATGGTAACTTATTTCAACAATTCCCTTTTTTTAAAAATTTCAATTTGTTTTAATATACCCATACAATTTAATATATTAAAGTATTTCGATAAATTCAGTATTTAATTTTTTAATAATAGAATAACTTAAATCGGTGCAATCTTGTTGGAACAGTTTTCAATAGGATTTATTTTATTTAGTTTTTTGTAAATACTAATTTTATTAGTCCAAGCTAGTACCTACTAATCTTCTTTTGTTTTATTTTTATCAGCTACTTTTTTTTCAATTAAAGAATTAATATATTTCCATGAACTGAATGAAATAAAACAACAAAATAATATACAACAAACAGAGGTACGTTTATATTTCAATATTATTGGAAGATACGACAATGGTAATGATAGNATAGAAATTTATACAGTTGCAACAATCCCAATTGCTCTTCACTTTTAAGGCTGCATAAAATAAATTGGTCAAAAGTCTTTCAAGGTGAAGAGTGTAAGAATTCATAGGTAAGGTTCGTTGTGAAGTAAAAGTAAATCAATTTCGAAATAGTTTAGCCTTTTTTGGGATTTTTTCTCAACACAAATTTAACTACTGCCGCTTGATTTCGTTTAAGTTAATCTATAAAAACATCGACATAGTTTAAAGTATAGTTTCGTAAACAGAAGTAGGAAATACATTTTATATGTAAATTACACAATGAAAACAAAGTTGTGTAAAAACAAAAACACTTTACTTTGTTATTGAAATGTATGTACACCTGTTTCTGATGAGATCGGTTTTATAATTGTCACTAAAAGGAACTGAATTAAATTGATTACACTTTAAACTGATTAACTGTGTTTAAAATCGGGAATCCAATTTGACTATTAAGTAACACACAACAACAACAATTGTTACTTTTTTGTAGAATTTACACAGAAACTTTGTACGAATTAAAATAGACTTTCAATTAGTTGAAAGTGAAGAAAATAAAAAGCGAAACGTTGGTGTTATACCGAATGAAAAAGAGCAAGCTTTAAAAAAAATCTAAAAATAAAATAGAAAATGGAAAACTTCTTACCTTTGACGACAGTTTCTTGTAAAATATGAACTTTCTTTTTACAAAATCGCGCCAAAAGGACGCTGAGGAACGTCCGCAAAAAATAATGCAGTTCTAAAAGTCCATAAAGCACAACAACCGCGACCAAAAAAGCCCCGACTATGTAGCACACTGTCATTCTTCGTTTGTTTTATTTGTAATTTTTGTTTTGTTGCTTAACAATTAAAACGAGATTTGAAACTTGGAAAATGAAAATGCTCTCTACATATCCATTTAGCGCTTAGATCACGCGAAACATAAACACAATGACCATTTTAACGTTTACTATTCCAACGTACTTGGACGCATACTGAATAAAATTTCGATTTAGAGTAATAAATGTATTACGGCAATTTTCCTTCGCGAACGTCACTGTCTACATTTTAATTGTGCCAGCGCAGCGTGTGAGACAAAGAAATAAATTGTGGAAACTGCAACAGTCCAACAATAATAATTTTTTGCTGACGAATGATTAAAAGTAAGCGCAAAGATGTTTCATCATCACCGCGGAAAGAATTTATAAACACTCCGTCTATTCCGGCAAAGAAGTCCACCTTTGAAACTACCAGTGGAAGTAGTCATGTGACGTCAGAGCCGCGACCAGGGTTATCCTGGACCGGAAAATCAGTCGATCAGTTTGATTTTGCGCTTTTCGCTGCGTGTATCTGATACACTCATTAACAAGCAAATAAGGACATCTTCAACTGAATTATTTATTGATCGTTGAGATAAATTTTTAAATTTTATTCTAGAATTTATTATCATCAAATTATGATAAAGGTTGACCGTCAGTAAATATGGATAGATCAAAAATAGATTGTATGCATTTTACTGTTCAAAGATTAGGATGGATTTTTAATTTTTATGTGTTATTAATTAACCACAAAAAAATTAAAATGAATTGAATTAGTATGGGAATATGTTCTCATTTGTTAATTAAATATAATTACCGTATTTTTTAACCCACTACTAAGTAGTCAATTCGAGACCTATTATGTATGAGTGATGATGGGTGGCTTCTAGCATTGAATTAAACTATTTTATATATTTTTTCATTAAAGTGTTCCAAAAACTGTTTGAAATCTCCTATAAAGTTGAAAATTTATCCAGTTTAAAGAGTGTGGATTTAGAATAAGTGAAATGTTTATAGGGTGACCCTCAATTAGAATGTTCTTGGATATTTAGGAATGTTCTGCGTGTGAATTTGCAACTTAACTACCAACTATTCGTTTGGAATAGAAATGAGAATGTAAACCCAACGAAAGGGGTTGTTATTAGCTAGTTTTATAACAAAACTAAATACATTTACTTTTACTACTTTATATTCAACATATACCACATTTGCCTAGATATTACAATGATCTTTGCCTTGAATCATACAAAATGGTACCTGCCACTCGTCTTTTTTTTCAGTTGTTTTATTTTGCAATCTATAAACTTTAGAATGTAATTTTTGAAAGTATCACCTCTCATTTTTGTAAGTATGCTGAAAAGATGCTGAACGTGATTTAAATAAAAATCAATTAATATAAAAAATAAAATCGTTTATATGCAAGGTATTCTTAATATTTACAAGGTGTGTATGTATGTATTTGTATTCACTTTAGAAAATGAAAACTAAAGTAAGCATTACTTGTACTTGCTGATTAATTTTAGCTATTTAGTCATTACATGATCTTAATTTTGTACAGAATTATTACGTTAAACATATATTGACACTTGTTATATAAGTTTTATAGTTAATTATTAGGCTTAATGAATAATTAATTTAAACAGCTAGTCTTATGGAAGATATGTAAATTCATATTTTTACAATCTTCGATTCTCTGTTGACCTTGACCTTATCTCTGCTATTTTCATTGCCCTACAAAATCGATTTTGGCTAGAATTTCAAGTAACATTTAGGCATTTAGGGTATAAAATAAATAACGCAGTTGTACTTTATTAACATCACATTCTTATAGTCTATTTATACAATAATATTGTTAAAATATTATAACTTTATTTTAGGTGAAAAAGTACTGGCAAACTTTCAATTTTACATTGTGGTAATAGTTGTAATGCTTGCACTTTTATCGTCTTGTAAATTTGAATTTCCTTCTATCCATTTCACCAAAAATTCAGGGGGTTCGGGTTTCTTAACGGTTTGTTTAATCCGTTGTGAAATTGATTCCAAAATACTTTCACAGGTGCAGTTTATCATTTTCACTTCTTGAATAACAAACGCATTGATTAAACCTCCTTTCGTTATAAATTTGTACTGCAAATAGAAGCTTTTGTTGTCCCAATACAAAAGCTGAAATTAAGTAAGTCTTTAATTTATTAGTGCAAATCCTCTCAATTACATAAAAACAGGAATGAGTACCTTCAATTATCTTGTAAATTTGAATACAAGGTGTGTATAAGTAGATAGATAGTACCATATAAATAAAGCCTTTCCAAGACTGTATAATTTAATATATAAATATGTATAGATAGGTAGGTATAATATTTCTCATCAATTTTTAAATACCTGTTTCAGTCACTTGAGATATTTGAGAACCTCCAGGCAATCCTGCTACCGATAATAAAAGAGTAACAAAAATAACAGACATTATTCAATTTTTTTGCCTAACTTAATTACGAAATACTAATAGGTAATGGGCTAATATGAAATAATAGAATACCAAATATCAACATGATGAACTCCCACCTTTTCTGTAAATATTTAAAAAACACGGTAATTTTCCATAGGATTTACCTGACCAATATGCAATACTTGTGTTTACCCAGTTTGGATAAATTAAATCTATAGATATTCCATAAAAATTCATTATAAATGTTAGTAAAACGCCTATTTCCGTAAATTACTTTATTTCATCTTAATAAAACCTTTTCTTTTTGAGGCTTCAGCATCAGGAGTTTCTTGTATGATAACATGTGACATGAACAATATAATTATGAAAACTAGACCAAATAGATGCGCTATCAACGTTTTTTATTTACCTTAGTTTTTATCTTGAATATAGTTGATAACTTAATAAATCGACAGTAGACAATTGTGGCCTTTTTTACGGCACCTGCACCCTTATTTTCTGCAATAGCTCTCATTGATCCCAATCGAATCGAAAAATCGAGTCTGGCAAAGTCAACTTCTCGTAAATATTTTGAGTTGTTCATGCCATGCAAAAATTGATCCAAATCGGTAGTAAAACAAAAACCTACAACGATATTGACTCAAATTATAAAATTATATTTAACCAGAACGACATGAGCAATAATAAAAATTAATGAGAATTTTTTGTAGTTCTTTTTATTATGCACAGAAAGCAGAAATATTTTTAAAAGTGGTTTAGTAGTTAAGATCTTATTTATCATCAAAACAACTCTAATAACTTTTTTCTTTTGATTTGTTATTTTGTATTACGTTGATGCATTGTAATGAAGACAATTTGCAATAAATTACGTAAAAGTCCATTATTTAAAAGTGTTATTATGCAAAAGAACGGATACTACAAAACAAGGACCATTAGTTAACTACGATTTTAAATATTCACTAATTCAAATATTTCCATTCGATTAAATAACAAATATTTATTGTGTTCAACCAAAAACGCGAAAAATAAGATTTACAGTGGAAAAATATTTCTAGTTTTTCTTGATCGCGTATATTTGCAACTATCATATTAAAAATTGATTGGTATTTAATAAAACAATAAAAACAAAGACTACAAATACGTACGTGAATGCACATTAAAAACAGTGGATATTTTCTTAGCTATGATAAAACCATTTTACTAATAATGCAACTATATCACCGGCATCTTTTTTTTCATACTTATTTTAATATTAGTACTATATCTTTTAACCTACCTGTGATGGTTGTTTCATCCGAAATATCAATAGTTTTCTTAAAACACATAGCAATAAATGTCACCCAAACAGTACGTAAAAAATAACTAATATCAAAACATATTTGAAAAAAAATGATAATTGTTAAAACAATGATCCATATAACTAATGGATCCATATTGGAACTCGGTTTAAGAAAATGTTATATCTATCAACTTTTGCCGCTATTTCTAACACAAGAACGTGAAAAAAGCTCATTAACTTTATCAAAATCACAGAACTTGTAAATATGAAAATACTGCACCTAGAACAATGCAATACTTGCTACATATTAATAAGATACATATATATTTGCACTTCATTATATATATTTTTTTAATTGTCGTATATGTGAGGTTGAAATTAAAATTTAATACATTCCTTTGTTAAATACATTAAATGTAAAGAAATTGTGTTTTCTTTAACAATTTAAATACACTACAAAAATGTTTGTGACATTTTTTATACTGTGTCATTAANAATAAAAAAGAAGTAAATTCAAAGAAGCAAATGTTTATAAGATAATAAGAGTTTTTAATAAAGAAAGGTAATAAAAATTTCAAATTACATCCTTTTAAATTTTATATTTCAATTCAATTTTTAATACCTTATTAAACTCTAATTACGGATTATAATAAATTCACATGTATATTAAAATAATAGGTAATGGCTCATTTGTATTTCTTTGTATACTTATCTCTAGATTTCTATAACTAATTTGAGATTTTAGATTAAAATGGTACCAATTTTGATGGATCCAAAATTGGGAAAAAGAAATCAGTTAAAAAAGGACATCATATTATGATAAAAACACTTTTTTATTAATTGTCTGTATAAATTACATCGATACCTGAAATCTACTCATTAAAAAAAACAAATGGAAATGTTTTCTATGACCTTTGAGTTCTTTTTAGATTGCAATATCTTTCGCCAAAATAAAATGCCCTTTCCAGTCTAAATAACGCAACATCCCTTATTAAATAGATTCCTTCAGCCTAAATCTGAAAGTCCTAGCTCAATTAGAAGTGCCCTTTAGGTTTTGGTAATTAATGAATATTTTTGACAAATAGACAGACAACAGGGGTTCCGTTTTACTTTTTGATTAAGTTTCGGAACCTTAAACGCCAATTTATTATTAATAATAACTAACTGAAACGCATAATGTTATGTCACTATTTATATTAGAGAAACATTATTAAAGAGTATTACTGTAACAATAAACTATTATATGATTACCTCCTGTACTGATTTTATTCGTTTATTTTTTTCATTACACTTGTATTTTAAATAGCATTTCGTTACTGATAGAGCCATCTCTTGATACGAATCTGTATTTTAAATAAATGTTTGCTGTATGTGGAGCCATCTTTTGCAACACGCATGTATTCACTCAACTTTCATTTTATTTGAAATTTTAAATTTTAAATCATTACATTTATCAATAAATCTNTTTCTCACCCTTTTCAACTTTTCAATAGCTGCCCAGGCATCAGACACCTTGTAACGTAAAAATTTATGTATTTGTAGGACTATTTTTGTGTTAAAATCTATGTAAAAGGACTTAGTATAAGTAATCTTTAGTTGTGTGGTCCCAGTGTTGTGCTTGTTATGACTAATATGGTGCATTTACGTACAAGAAAATACTACAAACCAAGACGTACACCACGAGAATCAAATTTCAAAACGTTATTTATATTTGAGGAGGAGAATGTCGTGTGGTTAAGGACCACTTTCTTGACGCATATCCCGAAACATGTGGAGCAGCCGTGGGTAATGGAAAATATTTCTGCGTTATAGTGCGAACCATTTTAAATTTGCTAACTTTCAACACTGCACAAGTNGTTAATCGATTTTGGTGATCACTTTAATTAATTATTTTTATGTTAATTGGCGACGCTTCAAAGACATTTCGTCTTCCTCATCAAGCTATACTAATTATAGTCTCAACGTCGCTAATTAATATAAAAATTTTGCAGTGTTCACCACAATCGGATTAATTGATCTTACCCCCAATTTAAAATCTTGTTTTATTATTTCTATAATCATATTTTTGTAATGACACATAATAAGTCTGACATTTAAATTGGAATTACAATTTGTATTAGTGGTGCGTAATTATGTAAAATTTACATATTTCTGCCGGACTTTATAATTTATTAATTTACCGATGATGTAATACATAGGTATACGAGTATCGAACTTTCACAAAATTTCAAAGAAAATGAAATGAATTAAAACGAAAATAACCAACTAGAAAAATCATATCGTAATAATAATAATGGTTAATGCTTTTCATCAGTAAAGTTAACAGTTATTGAAAGCATTTCTAATTTGATCTTATTGAAGTTGTCTTAACCATAAGGAAGTTCTTTATTTAAATCTATTTTTAATAACTTGACAAAAAAGAAATATGAAAGCCAAGCAAAATTAATTTTATTGAAAGATGAATTTTGATTGTAATAAATCATTCTAAAAATGACGTTAATTGAATTAAAGAAGAAAGAAAGTAATTGTGGAAATGTACATAGATCGTTTTTTTATTATATCTTACCTTAGAAGTAATAAAATAGCGACTAAAAAGCTTTAGAAATCTCCTATATCGAATGGTGGTAGCACAAATGGCAATGCTACCCCCTTTAGCTTTGATTGTGCGAAACAGTCCAGTCCTTTCGTAAAAATCTGCCCGTGCAAAGTCCAATTCTCTCATAAACCTGGCATTATTCATATGATATAGAAAAGTATCTATATCAGAAGTCAAACAAATACCTAAAAATTTAAATGTTTATAAATACAAATACAAAACAAATGTGAATGAGACCTTAAAATTAATAGATCTTTGCTAGCCTTTAGCATTAAAGCAATTAACTCTTTCTTGTGAAACTATAATTTTAGAAGGTATGAAATAAATTAATTAAAATATTATAAATTTATACAGTTGCAACAATCCCAATTGCTCTTCACTTTTAAGGCTGCATAAAATAAATTGGTCAAAAGTCTTTCAAGGTGAAGAGTGTAAGAATT